AGAAAGAAAGAAAGAAAGAAAGAAAGAAAGAAAGAAAGAAAGAAAGAAAGGAGAGAAGAAAGAAGGATGAGCCAGAAAATAAAAGTGGAGTTGCTGAAAGATAGTAAAGGAAACAGTGATGAAAACTAAATATCTTTTTATAGAAATTTGGCTTTCAAATTCTGCCAATTCCTTGCCTATTAAAAGACAAAAATCAAAGGGGAAAGAGCAAGAAAGACAAACACAAATAAAAACAGACTAACAAAACTACACCTCCCACTAATCAAATGACCAAGTAAAAAAAATGGTTAGTTGACACACAGGGCTCTCTGCTCAGAATACAGCCTAGAGGAAGGAATGATCTCCAAAGAAACATTAAGATTTACCAGTTGGGTTTGTGGTGTCAATAGCAATATTACTACCTTAATTTTGAAACTAACCCAGGGAAATGGGTAAATATGATGCCATAAGAGATAAGCTTTTACGGAAAGAGTAAACAAGCATAAATGTAAAGTAAAAGAAGGTAAGCAAAAATTTTCTAAATGTTTAACTAAATCACAGTTCTTAATATGAAGTCTTGATTGGGTGTGTTCATCTGTGCATGTGTGTGCTCATGAGCACGCATTCATGTGAAGAAAGAAAACTTTTTAAAACTCAGTGGTGCTGGAATTATGGGTAAAAGTCTGTGCCATGCAAGTGTAATAATATGAGGACCTGGGCTGAACCCACAGAAAAGCTGGATGATTGTTGCAAGTGTCGGCAACCCCAGCCCCCTGCGGGGAGATGGAGCGGGATAGGAGAATTCCCGGAACAAGTGTGAAAGCGCAGGTCAGAAGACAACCTTGGGTGCTGCATTCACCTTGTTTCCGATGGGGCCGTTTCCCGGCGGACTCCAGGCTGTCCCAGGAGCTGCTACAGATAGTGTTAATTTTATTTGGTTGGAATCACAGCAGTGCATCCAGGTGAAATAACTCCCTTCATGATATCTGATGAATAGTTAGCAGTGAAATCTCACAGTCTCTGAAGTATTTTCCAGCTTTTTAGAAAGATCTTGAAAGCAGTTTGCAACCAAATATAAATACGGTTGAATCTAGGTAGTGGATAATTTATTATTAACAACTGTATGCATTTGAATATTTCAAGATAAAATGCAAGGAGGTTACAACTAGCTTTTCAGGTGTTAATTACATTAAAAATTTAAATTTGTCTCTGGATTTAACACAATGAAACATTCTTGCGATAGAGTTTGGACGTTGTGACAGAACGTCTATAATAAACCATTAGAAGGAGGAACGACATATCTTGACTCGTGGCAGGGAGGGTGTGAGGGGGCGGAGCAGCCCACACCGTGACCGCTGGAAAGCCAAGCCAGCAAATCCGGCGCTGGCTAACTCTCTCCTCTTCCCCTTCATCTCCAAGTGTGTCCCACCTGGACTCCCAAACCCTGGGCTGGCAGAACCTGAACTCAGGGTGTGCCTCCCTCCATTTGTTAGTTCATTCTGACCTCCTGACAGCCAGACTTAACCAGCTCAGCTATGCATTACAGTTACATCCCTGGGCCAGTAAGATGGCTCCGCAGGTCAGGCCCGGCGTCAGGGACCAATACAGCGGAAGTTAGAGAACTGACTTCCGAAAGTTGTCCTCTACTCTCCTCACACGCGTGTGTTTCGTACATCTCACACACATACGTTACACACACACACACACAAATAAAATATATTTTAAATTATGCCCTATACAGTTCTACATTGTTAAATGTATACCGATTAAATTCTGTATTTGAAAATAGAAAGCACTTTATATAAGAATGAAAAAACAAAAACAGCCTGAAGTAAGATGAGATGAGAACCAGCCCCCACACTACTAAATAGAAACTGGTACACAGACAACTCCAAACATAGCGTTTGTGCCTGTGCATGGATGCCACACACACAGCGCCAAGGAATGCACTTTCTGTACCTGAGGATTCCCAGGGTGCTGTTAGCTCGGCATAACATAGTTTGCTTGCGAAAACTCCGGAGGGCAAAGGTTTACTAACACTGCCCTTTTGGGGGAAAACTTGCAGCCCACTCTGTGAAACACAGGTAAACGTGGCCAGAAGCTTTTTGGTTTTAAGTATTTGAATTCTTGGAACTATTTGCAGAGGGGTGGAGGTGGTACCCTTCTTCCCCACCTCCTCCCTCTGCAGGGGAATACTGCTTCTGACATAGAGTCTGGCTGTGTAGGCCAGCGAGAGAAGCTTCAAATTCAGGATCCTCCTGCTCACGCTTCCAAGCGCTGTAGTCAGGCACATTCCTCCAGTGTGCTCACTTTTCTAGAGAGAGAGCGCTATCTGTGTCTCCGTGTTCACTGACTTGGGGATGCTGTCCATCTGCCAGAGAATCGGACTGCATACAAGAATTACCCAGGGAAAGCCTGCCATCGGTGCTGAGACCCAGGCCCCACCGCAGACCCACTGACTCAGAAATCTTCATGTATTAAGTGTCTGCTCCACAGAAAACCTATTTTGCATATGCTAGGGCTTGGGAGTGGGATCTAATATTATGGCCACAATTTGTTCTCAATCAGTTTACAATACAGGATAGAAGATAAATGAATATTACAGGATTCATTTAAAGTATGGAATTAGCGTAACATCAGCTGTATGTGCCATAAACCAAGTAGTCTTAAGATAAACTACAGGTGTCACTTTGATCTCTTTAAGAGATGGGGCCTGTCACACAGTAAAACTGTATAGGGAACACAGTTCTGCCAACTCAGAACAGGAAAAAAGGCTTAAAAGATGGCTCCTAAGAATACCCTAAGATGTGAGAGTCCATTGTTAAGGCCATTCATAGGAACCTGCAGACTCAAGATAGCTGAGGGCATGGTAGCTCCCCTAGCTATAAAGAGAGTGAGTTACAACCTGAGTGAAATGCAGACCCTAGTGAGAAGAAACCAAATTATTAGCTAAGGAAAACTCATTGCCAGGGAAGATTCCATAGTGTGATCATCCTGGCGTGAGCATCCATTGATTAATTTATAGTTAGCCAGTTGAAAAACACAAGCCTTGCTAATATATGTATGTGTGTGTGTTATGTAAATCAAATAACTATGTAAAGGTGGAAGGAGAGAATTGATAAGAGCCCAAGGGAGCTGGCTCCAAAGGTATCATGTGTTCATGAGTAATACCTCCCTCTCTGCCTCCTCTCCCTCCTTCACCACCTGCAGTGGCCAGAAGAACTGACCCTGGGGTCATGAGAGTGGGAGCGCTGACCCTGCTTCTGCGGATGACGGCATTGAGTGGCCTAGCTGGACTGGTGCTGGAGAGTCACCCTGGTGGTGCAGATAAGGGAGAGCCAGCCACGGCTCAGCTGCCAGCCACGGCTCAGCTGCCACCCAGGCCCAGATCCAGGGCTCTGAGTTGGTCCACCCCAAAATCTACATCATCTGCAAACAGTTGGGGTGTGTGACAGGGCCTGCTATTCTGAAGCTGCAGGGTCTCCATGACACACAGCAGTGACAGGGTAATCAGGATGAGGATCCAATATTGATGGCGTTACAGAGGTCAGAGACCTCGAATCAGACCAGTGACTCACTGCAACGAACATTTGCAAGTGAAGACGTGTGGACAGAGGGATACACTGTGGGATACACTGTGACACACTACAGCTTCCACGATGAGATGTTTCTGAGCTTTGTTTTGTTGTTGTTGTTGTTATTTGTCTGCTTGCTTCCTTGTATGTTTTATTTGGGAGGGGGAGGGGGAGGTTGCAAGGGTGAAGGGCAGATATGAGGGGATAGGGAGATGAGTGGGACTGAGGTACATGATATGAAACTCACAAAGAATCAATAAAAAGTTTTTTTTTTTAAAAAAAAAAAAAGGAGGTAATGGCGAACTGTAACGGCAAGAGAGAGCTAGCAGCAGGGGAGCAGGGAATGGCACCCCAGGCAGTGACCAGTGAGTGACCAGCGAGCTCAAGGGCAGTGCTGGAAGAGTGAGTTCCGTTAGGATTTCCCATCTCTCCCCAGAAGTGAAAGTTTATCCACTCATTGACTCCAAGTGTGTGCTTTGCCTTCTGCCAAGGACATCCGTGCCCTCCTCCTCCCTATGGCCAGCTCCTCCTCACCCTCAGTCTCAGCCTGGGCAGCCTCCCCTGCCCCCACACTTCTTCAGTCAGTGCCCCCTTTGCTGTGGCTCTGAGCATCCAATACTTTTGTCCCGGCGGTTAATCACCCTTCCTGTGTGCCCCACGAGACTCCAGGCTCCTTAAGATCAATAGCTGTGTGTGAGGTGTTTCATTATGGTTGTAGAGCATGACTGAAGGGAGACGGGGGGACATACACATCTGTCTAATTCCTTCTCTTCCCAATACACTTGACCTTGAATGAAGGTGAGCAGGATTTGGACAGACGGGTGGCTTTAGGAGCCCAGTGAGACACTAGAGGAAATATGCTCCCAGACACAGCAGACTCCAGTCCTGGACGTGTTGCCAGGGACAGCAGAGACACAGATCCACAGCTGTCACCCCTCCACCATGAGAAGTTCCCCAAAGCTTCTCGAGACCAGGCTACCGGGCTTTGCTGAGGAAAGGAGTTTCAGGACTATCCAGAACAGTGACACAGAGTTGGGGGCTTTGTTAGAGATAGGTTAATACAGGCTCAAGCACAAGGGTTAACACGGAGGGGTGCACTGGCTCTCCAAGGGAGAGTGAGCACTCGGTTGACTTAGCATTCGCTCTATACACCCATCAGTGACCCTCAAGAGACATCTCAGAAGGTTGCTAAGAAAACTCTTATCCCCTCCCCCTCTTTTGTTCTGAGAGATACATGAGATGGTCCCAGAGACACCTTTCCTGAAATTATAATCTCATCAAATAAAATCAGAGGCTACCTGGGTTCCAGAAGGTGTCTAGTATCCACTCTCTCCCTGTACGTGGGTTTTCTGGTGAGATTCTTTTAGAAAACTCCAGGTTCGTGGTTAGCAAGGGAGAGACATTAATTGTGCTGGAGTTCTTGCTCCTGATGCTGGCAAAGGCTTCCACCAGATTCCACAGAGGTGGGGCTTCTCCTCCCCACCCCAAGCTCCTCATGTCCCCAAGACTGCCCCTGCCTTCCTATCCTGCCTCAGAAGGAAAATGGGTGGAGCTGGGCATTCACACACACATGCATACATACATACACACACACACATACACACACACACACACACACACACACACCTATAATCACAGCACTCAGGAGACTGAGCAGCAAGATCACCAGTTTGAAGCCAGCCAGTCTTCAAAGTGAGACCCTATCAAGAAGATGAGATGGGAGGAAAGAGAGAGAGGGAGAGAAGGAGAAAGTGTAGAGGAATCTGCAGGGTGACTTGTTCACCTACTCTGCGTTTGCCAAGCTGCTGGGATGGCAGCTGACTGAGCAGCTTCAGCTCTGGGTCCTGAACCCTGGCGATAGAACATAACTCCTGCTTAGGGCCTGCTAACTCTACGCCAGGGCTTCCCTAGGAAATTTATGTCTCTTCACTGCCCAAAGCCTCACACTGATCCCATGCAGCAACGATGATCCCCTTGGAATGATGAAGGGGGCAGAGGCGCCGAGAGTGAGATAACCTGTGCACATTCACGGCAGTAAAGGGGAGAATCTGGGTGCATGGCCAAGTCGGACCCCAGAACCTTACGCTGTGCTGTGCCCTTCCAGGCTCACAAGTCTCCAGCTACCATTGGATGTGTGTTTTGGAGACAGGGCTAGATAAGGAATAAGCAACCACAAGAATATCAGAGAGAAAGAGAGATGGGTACAATGGGGGAATGTGCTACAGTGTGCAGTAGACAAAGCCACTGGGCCTCTCTGAACAGAGCATGGGTCATCTCATCTCCTAGGAGACCACTAAACGGAAACCTGAATTCTGGGTTGTTTGGGGAAACTGTTTCAGAAGAAGGACACAGCAGGTACCAAGGCTGGGCACTTATGGAAGAGTTGCCGGAAGATTTCATGTTTCCTGGCTGCCAGGGGAGTTTCTGTTTGCATGACTGTGGAACTTTCCTCATGGAATCTGGAGAAGAGGTGCTAATGGAAGGTCTCCTGTCCCCCAAAGCTGGCCATCCCTGAGGCGCCCCAAGTTCCAGCCCGAGGCACTTTGTTGGCAAGCTGGTAGACTCACGTTTTGTTTGAGGCTGTGGTTCTCTGAGCATTCTGAGTCATCCTGCCAAATATCTGTGGCGTTCTCTTGCTTCTGCCAAGTCCCTTGAGCTGAGCAGTGTCTGTAGGCCCTTCCTGGGCTCTCTGAAAGTAAACAAGACTCTAGAGGAAAGGTCAGAACACACAGCCCCGCTCCCTAAGCCCAATGGAAGGTCTTCACCCTTAGCTAAAAAGCTGTGGAAAATCCCAGGGAAAGGGAGGTTTTCATTTCTCCATTTGGGGGCTCATTAGCATCTCTACTGTTTATTTAGGATGGGAAGAAAAACACAGAGGCCTCTAGATTTTGTAACCAACCATGATCCTCTAATGTCCATAGTATTTACACGTGTCTCTGAAGTCAGAAGTTCCCAGTGACTCAGACATACAGCCCTGCAAGGTACAGTCTCCCAGGGGAGATGCTGACCTGGGCATGCTCAGTGAAGCATCTTTCCCTAATGTCCAAGAGGTGGCGCCGTGAAGAAGAGAAAGCAAAAGGCCCTAAGCAGTCTGCCTCAAGACAGAGACGTGACAAGCCAAGTTCTGAGCTAGTGTCCTGGATCCAGCTGTACATTCTGAGTCTTATCAGCTTCTTTATCAGGAAGCGGTACATAACTGCTACCTCTCTTCTGTGACATGAGGGAAGACCGAGTATGTCTATGTGCGCAGATGATGAACTGATGAACAAATCACACAGCCCACACTGAGTGCTGTTGAAAATTGGCCACATCTACCCTAGAAGCCCCATTAAAGGAGGATCAAATAGGATACACAAATGAAACGTGAAAACTTGCCATAATCATCTGGTCTAGACCCTACACGCCCTAGACTACCAGAACCTATTGGCTGGATTTAATCGATTGGAACCTACCCCACACCTGAAGCATGTCTGCTTGCCCAACTGATATCTCAGACAACATGCTCCAACCAAGCATGTCACCATTGAGCCCACCCTGACATCCCCTAGCCGAGACCCTTAGAACTGTATCTGTCCTCTCTTCCTGCCTCCAGCCCCTCTGCTCATTAGCCAGTCACACTCACTTTCACACAGATCCAGGATCTGACCCTGCTTTCTACCTCCTACTTTCTTCCTAATTAGTTCACTTCTTCCCTGGTTTACTGCTAAGTCTGCTGGTGGGATTTACCTCACAGCTGTGGACAGCCTGGTTGTCATGTTTCTGCTCAAGATCTTCCAGGGGTTTTCTAAGGATAAGTGAGGGTCCTTCTGCGACCCTCCACAGAGGCTGGTGGGAACCGGGCTCCAGCTCTCTCTGCCCTCACCTCACATTGCTTCCCTTCCTCCTTAGCACCACTCGTGTTTATCCCCTCCCCTTCTTGGGGGCATGCTCCTCTCCAACAGCACGACACTGCTTGTTGTGCGCTCCCGAACACAACCCCCTCTTGGTTCAAACTCTTTATCATCACTCTCTTCGTCATCACTGAAGCATCACTTTGCCATTGACTCGTCCTTCAGCTCCCCATTGTCCCCAGGGCACCCTGTCCATTCATTCCGTCTCCAGCTTCATCACGTCTACGGTGTCTCACATCTATACTTCAGAGGGCGGCCTGTGACTATTGTCCGCCCTTCTCACTACAACGAGAGCAATTTCGGTCTGTTTGGGTCACCAATAGATCCCAAACATAAAAAAAGGGTGTTTGGCACACAGTGGGTACTTACTAAATATTAGTTCAACGGGAAAACGGGGATGAATGCTACCTGGCACTTGTGCCAGGCATAACGCTCTGCTCACAGCTCAAACCCGAGCTGGGAGAGTGTACAGGAAAGTGTCAAAAATTCTCACAAGTGCTAATGCGGAGACTGTGCAGGTACAAGAAAGTCCTCAGAAAAACAGGAGTCCATCGACTTTGAGGAAGAAGCCGGAGGAATTTTCTAGAAGAATGGGAAATACAAAGTGAAAATCGGAGTTCGACTTAGAGGCAGAGCCTTCAGAAGGTGTCCTGGAGAGAAGCGTGGACACAGGCTTAGGCTAGGGTCAGTGCAGCCATCACGAGATGGAGATACACAGCGGTAACGGGATGTGGACAGTGTGGTCATCTTGCTATCAGGACAACATAGCTATGGTCCCAAGATGAAAGAATGGGTTGGAATCCTTGTGGGAAAGAAAGAGATGTTTATGTCTCTCCTTTGGGCCATGAGGCTAACATCTCTTTTCAATTGCGAAATTGGTGTGTTTAACAGATACACAGGAACCCAAGCTTAATACCGCCCTCCAGAGAAAGGTGCAAAAGGCCCTGCACCTCACAAAGGAATGGGCCAAGAGACAAAGAGCTCTGCTAGGGCCGGAACAGGTGGGGCCGTACATCCACCATCCCATAAAGCCCTTGGCACTTTTCTAACATAGGAAATTGTACCCTACTTTCCTACCATGTAAGTTGAATAAAAATTAACAGAGATGGTGTCGGCCACCTGCAGCTGACTTACCTTCCTCTAAGAAAGGACCGTTGACCTGTCTTAGCTAGATCAGCTTATCTCCTGGCTGTTGTCTCTACGAGTTGTAAGTCACCACAGTCATGGTGGTGAGAAAATTAGACTTTTCCTGCCAGTCTGATATAGGCCAAAGTGTAAATCAACTATTTTCCTTTTATAACTTCTATTTCCTAATTTCTTTCCAGATACGGGAAATCTGAGGCAGTGGGTAAGGACCTAAGTGTCTGGTAACACCAGCTAGACAGATGGAGGAGCCTGGGAGCTATTCATTTTGACTAGAGGGGAAGAAGAGAAAACAGGACAGGATGCCAGACAAGTCACCAAGACCACATTGCAGAAGGTCACAGATACTGGTCATGGTTCTTGACATGGGAGCCAATACAGCCGCTAGCAGTTTAGAAAGCTTTATGGGAGTTCATCAAGGGGGTCAGGTTCGAGGCTATGGCAGTAAGGACACCAGGAAGCAGCCAGATGAGGAGAGGCTGCTGAGCTAACTCAGCACCATGGTACCATTGGGAGAGGAAAAGAAAGAGAAACTGGGTACCACCCAGATGACATCGAGTCAACACCAGGCCAGATAGAACATGAGGTCGTGTCGAATGGGGGTGGAGAGGAAAATGTCTGCATTTGTTTCTCTTAACCTATTTCCCTGCTTCTTTCTGTCCCTCAATTTCTGTTCCATTTGATATATCCATTCTACCTCCAATATTTTCTTTAACCCTTTCCCCTCTCTCCAACTTCTGACCATGCCTGAACCCAAACCAATAACACCTCTTTTTTGTGGACCATTCTGGTAGTCCCCAGACTGTCCCTTAGAATTCTCCTGCATCTCCCAATTTAAGACCCCCAGGCTTAAATGATGGCTTCCAAAACTACATTTCTCTTGTGCCCCTCTCATGCCTCCATGCCTCTGTGTCTTCATCGTTTTTCTCTACAGAGCAATCATGCACCACACTTTTCTTTGCAATCAGCACCCGGCCTCACTGTCTAGATCCCAGACAACCCACGAGTCCACTATCTGACTTCCTCTGTGCACCATAAACTCACTCTCGGAACCCCACCTTAAAGCATTCATCAGCACCTCTCGGTATTTGGGAGATTCCTTCCAAACCCTTCCATTGCCTCCATGTTCCCTTTGGACTCTAGAAATCCATTTGGATTCTAAAATTTAATGCAAAAGATGTATTGAATGAGAGAGTCAGTTCCCATGTTTTACAAATCAAATTCCATTCAGTACACTCTAGAAACTGGAACCCCAAGTTTAAAATGTGTCTGTAACTCACTTCTCGGTAGCCTTGGGCTCAGGATTGCTTTTTTTTTTTTTTTTTTTTTTTTTTCATGTGATGAAATAGATCTATACATTTTAACTACTGGGAAGGAAATGAAAAAGTTGGAGGTGCTGTCTGTTCATCCACCATGGAGGACCTTGTGGCAAATAAGGACCTAAATGATCTAAGGGCATCAAGGGTTTCAACTTTGGACTCCACTTTAGCACTCATTTCTGAAGTGCCTACTAGGTTCAGGTTCTGTCATTCTTCAAAGTGACCTTATGAGTTAATCCACTTTACAGGCATTCTCCGAGCTCCTGATTCCATGGTCAATGCTCTTCTCACAACTCTCTGAGCTGGTTCCCATGAGGACTGTTAACATGAACCTTTTAGAAGTCTCTGAGTCTAGAAAGCTCTTTAGTATCATCCCATGGAATTGGGGAAGTCAGACTCGGCAGCCCAGAAGTCAGACTCAGTCCCTCTTTCTACACTTTGGAATTTGGAGGGTATTTCTGGAATGCTCTAGGCTGTGTTTTCTCTGTCTGGAAAGTTACTGAATCCTCCATCCAAGTTCCATGGTTTAAGAACACCATTTTAGTGGGACTCCTTTCAAAGCTGATTAAAGCAAGGCCCAAAATCATTTTCTCTATACAAGAAGTCATATGTTGTATAAGGAGAAGCTTCTCATTCTTTCTCATGTTTTTGTCCTCCCAAGACCAAAGCTGAAACCCTTGCATTCTTCTTACAACAGCCAGGTTCTATGGGAGCTGAATCTGAACTCTAATCTATACTTCAGTCCAAAAGTACTATATAAGTGGAGCCAACAGAAGCCTACAAATTATAGGAAGAAAAAATGGGAAAGAAAGATACAGTTCAGTGACAGAACATTTGTCTAGCACGTGTGAGACCCTAGGTTTACTTCCCAGTGCTTAGAAAGAGTGGAGGCAGAGAAATAAGATACAATACTGATTAATTGTACAAGTACACCTTTAAGAGGCATGAGGGCTTGGAAAAAGCTCTCGGCTGGAGTCCTGCCGAACTTCCCACTGGCTGCCCTACCAGGAGGCTTGTCCTTCAAAGAACTGTCAGACGTGGGTAAGATGAGAGCCATTACCTTCATTCCACCAAGGCAAGTACGAAGGACAGGGAACAGAGACATTTCCAGGAGAAGAATGAGGCCAGCACACATACCGATCGAATGTTCCATTACAAAATATTCCTGTGGGGAGAAGAGAAGGCAGAGTAAATGCCAGTGTTCACACACAGGGTCTTTGGGTTGAAGCAGATTCAGAAGCTGGGAGCCCACTTTCCAGTCTTTGGATAGCCTTCTCTCTAGAGTAGTCAGGAATGAAGAGTGACTGAAGAACACGGAGATGCTGAATGTAGCCCCAACTGGACTCCTATCAATGTATGCACCAGGCTAATTTTGCTTTGTTTTGTATGAACTGAACTCTTCCAGAAACTCAGGGTCATGGGGGAAGATGCCTGGAGGTCCAGCCAGTGACGTGTGTGCCATAAGTAAATGATTGTCACGTGTGCACCAATTTAAGAATAGAACACAATTACTGTAAAATGATGGATGTCTCTAAGGGGATCTGCAGAGCTAAGGCTCTTGGCCACATATATCTAGCGCTATTCTAGGTACTTATAGCTCTCCGTTTGAATATTAATTCAATAATTATTATAGGAGGTTGGACCAGGTTTAGAAGGTGGTTTATAGATCAGTTCTCAGTAACTAGAAGGCACAAACTTGGAACACACCCTGAGACACCTTCTCGGGTGTGATGGAGGCATTTTATACTGCAAGCTCCCAAGCACCCACCCTTATCCCACCTTCTTCCTTACTAGGGTGGAACCAGGGGCTTCCTGAGGCAGATAAGCAGGTCCCTGGCATTAAAACCCTTCAAGCCTGGCCCAGGTTTGCCTGGTGACTAGCTGCCTTAGCACATTGCCAATCTGGTTGCCAGGGAACAACCCATGCCCTGCTCACAGTCAGGCTCCATATGAAGACCTGCCCTACACGACCTCAGAAGTAGTATTCCCTTGAAATAAACGTGAATTTTGTAGTTGACATTAAAGCCTGGGTAAAGAGGGTCTTCACAAAGAGCTGGAAATGGCTTTTTCAGAGGTTGTTGCTGGCCTTGGGTCAAGCAGGCAGGGAAGACAGGGTAGCTTCTACCCCTGTTGGGCAGCTGAATGAAATGATTGACAGGTGTCAGAAGGAGACAGGTAGCCTTTATCTTTTACCCCTGGTGCTCACAGCCATAACTCAAGCAATGAGAAAAGGCCCTTTACAATAAAGGCCCTTTATTTTATTTTGGTTTGGCCCGGCTTTAGTTTTCCAGGCGCATGTTACCACATGCTGTGGACACGCTAACCTACGACACATCTGCTAGAATGCTCTGAACATAGTGTAGCCTGGGAAAGAGAAAGTACGTTATTGCTCAGACCCAGCTAACACCCCAGGAGATGAGAAACCCCACCTAAATAGCTTCCCAGGCCAGCTGACAGGAGTGGCTCACAGCAGGTGGCGAGGCAGGAAGTATGCCATGGTAAATTACTTTAATCAGAGAGGCTTCGACTAGACCCAGTCCATCTCCTCTTGCCAGGAGAAACCTTAGAGTTTATAATCGTGCCATGCGATTGAACATGGAAGAAATGACATGGGACTGAAAGGCTCGTTCGCAGAGGGAGGATGGCTTCTGGTCAGGCTAGCCCTCAAGAAGCAAGCCACACACTGCAAGGAAGCCCTGTCTCCACAGAGAGGCCAAGCGGAGGCTTTCTGACCACCAGTCACTAAGAGCCAACATCAAGCAGCAGATACAGGCATGAAGTTGCCTTTGGTGATTTCAGCTCCCAGCCTTTGAATATCCCAGTTACATCCCAAATACTGCAGTGTAGAAAGAGGCCATATCCAGTGTGCCCTGAATCCTTGCCCCATGGGAGCTGGGAGAGAGAGAGTAAATGATTATCATTGCTTTAAGCCGCTAAGATCAAAGACAGCTCATTACACAGAAAACTACTGTGCATGCTTACCGGAAGGTTCATTGTGCAAGTCTTGCAGACATGTCTTCTTATACTGAGCCCACTTCCGAGTAGTCTCCTCAAGAAGGGACCCTGTAACCTAAACACATAAAAACACTGTCACAGCCAGGCGTAGTGGCACACCCCTGAAATCCCAGCACTCACGAGGCTGTGGCAGGACAATCGTGAGTCCTAGGCCAGCCTGAGCTCTATGGTGAGACTCTGTCTCAGAAACAAAGCAAAAGAATGAAAGACCGGACATCACTTCCAGACGGCGTCAAGTCCAGCTGTGGCTATTTTTCTCATACCCTGGTCCTCAAATTGCCTTCCAAAGTGGCCCATACCAAGACACAGAATTTCCTCAGCATCCTATGTTTTACTTGACAATAAATCTGATTTTTTTCATGTATTCCACAATATAATTATATTTTTTGACAAAAATTATATATATATATTTTTTTTTTTTCAAACTCTTTAAGGTTGACATTTCACAGGAATGTAAAGCAGCCAGGCTGAACTTTCCCACACTTGCACAGAAACGCTGTTGTGCCCCTGAGGCTATGCAGATTCCCAGAAGAGAAGCATCTCACTGAGAGGGCCCCAACAGCGTGACTAAGAAAGGCCCACACAGGTGTGTGTGGCCGGAATCTGTGCCACCCAGGAGACATATGCCTGTCCTGAGGCCTTGGGACATTTTTCTTTCTGACATTGACTATTCTGATCATTGAAGAGACTGCTCACGTTTGGGGACACTGAGTCAGTCCATCAGCCTCTCTCTGTGAACCTAGACCCCTTCTTCAATTCACATTTCTCTTCCGCTCAGCGAAGGCGTCTTGCTGAAGCGCTTTGTGTGTCAGGTTTTGTACTGAAGGGGAACAGAGGGATAAAAAGATGAGCAGTGCGTCCCTAGTCAGTGAAAGGGCATTCCTGTGTTAAAGATGTTATAGGTGTGACAGCAAGGAGCAGAGAGGCATCTAGAAAACTGGGAGACATTCCCTTTAATGGCATCCGAATTTAACTACACATAGCCACCCACTATCCCCAAAACAGTGCCCCCATCTAGAACCAATGGGTGGCCTGTTTTAGCCACCTAAATGGTTAAGTCTAAGTCTAGTCTGCCCTCCACCCTCCTCTCTTCAGTGAACCCTCCCCCAACACCTTGTCAATTACAGTGAGATCTGTGGCTTTTTTCTATGTCTTTCCTAAAAGATCAACACACACACACACACACACAAACACAAACACACTTTGGCAAAGTGCTTCTTCCATCATAATTGGTCCATAATTTGGTCCAAAATTTCTTAGTTTGTGGCACCCTTAACTATCTCAGTAATTTTCCAAGGCACTCGCGGACCCGGAAAAAAAAATCTTAGGTCCTATTTATCAAGTAAATAAGCCCAAACAGTGTATAAATATTTACATCAGAACAACTTTGAACCTTCGGGCATTGCACAAGTTCTCAAACTTTAAGGTGGGACTGGACATCACCACCTTCATTTCCTGGCCCATGCTTGTTTTGTTCTGTTGCTTCTCGCAGGACCTGCAGACCACCGAGTTTTTCCCAGTCTAATAGTGAGTCAGGCAGACACTGTGGTGGAGCCCAGAAATGGCGTTAGCTAGCCATGGGAGGGGAAGGTAGGAGGATCAAGAACCCAGGTCCAACCTTAGCTGCACTGTGCATTCAAGGCCAGGCTGCTCTATATGAGACCCTGTCAATTGACTAAACTCAGGATGTACCTCACCCTCATGCTGACATGCCGACATGTGCATGGCCCTGGGTTCCATCCCCAGAACTACAGAAACAGAGAAACACACGAATATCTTGAGCTAAGAGTTTGCATGTGTCTGGAAAGTGCCACAATCACTATACTTTCCTCCAAAAATTAATACATATTCCAAAGCACCCACCGAATTCACGATGCTACCCTGGGCACCTTGAAACACAGTCTGGAGACCATGATGTTAGCCAATAAGAAGGTAGCATGAGGGTACAAGAGCCAACACTTATCCCTTAGCTTTGTTCTGCAATGAGCTTGGAATCTCTGCTAACCAAGAGACACCAAGTAAGTCTATTAAGACATTGATCTATGAAATAAACATCCTAATTGGAGCTTAACTGACTCATATTTTCTTTCAGATATTTTAGCAGATGAATTAATAACTAATCAATAAGCTTCCAGGATCCTCAAAGCTGTAAAAGGAAGGCCCTCCCTTGCATAAAGGGCCGTTGTGCCCTTGGAGATCTTACTCAGACCTGCCTAAAGAAGACACTGTGAAATCGGTCTCTGAAGTAAAAATTCTCCTAGCCCCCTTCTTCTTCACTAGGACCAACGGTGACAGTGAAAGCAGAAAAACAAGAGCTGGGGGGTCGGTTGGTAAAGTGCTTTGCCACACAAGCAGGAAGGCCTGAATTTGGATTCCCAACACCCACATGAAAAGCCAGGCATGGGGTACATGCCTGTAATCCCAGAGTTAGGGAGGAGGAGACAGGAGGAAGCCCATCTTACAGGCCAGCTAGTCTGGCTGAATCAGTGAGGTCCTGGACCAGTGAGAGACCCTGTCTCAAAAGACAAAGTGGAGAAGAACTGAGGGGGAGCACCTGCCATCGACCCCTGGCCTGAGCACCTGCACATGCACACAAACACAACAAGCATGCACAGTAGAAAACAAGTTAGAGCTAAAAACTACTGAATGTGGTCAGCCTGGAGAAGCTAGACAAACATGGACTGTCCGCCCAGGTCCTTATTTAAAACACAGCAGAAAGGTGGGAGGCTGCCTAAAGCCAACCTCAGCTACGTTCCCACTGTAAGGAGAAGAGATGCGTGAAAACCTCCAGCTTGGCCTTCCTTCCTCTCCCCTCATAGGCAGCCTGTATCCAGGACCAACCGGGCTGGGAAAGGGTTAAGAAGGTGCATGGGCGGACAGTCTTTACTGACTCTGCCTACACAAATCTGTCTTTATTTGTTAGAGTGAATATACCACAGAGTAAAGACAGAGAAAGTCACAGGTAACCAAAAAACAGGAGAAAGGGAGATCACACCCTCCAACTTCAAGGAGCGTCTTCCCTTCAGACCCTTCTCTCCACACATGCCTCATCTTACTTCTTTTCTTCCGTTCTGTTTTATTCTAACCAAAAAAAGGAAGCCATGTTGTTCTGCAACCTTTATTTTTCCACCTAGAAGCATCCATTTCAAGATGTACTTAAAACTGCTCTATGGTTGCTTTTAGTCAACACCCCTTTAGTGGCTGCACAGAATGCAGAAAAAAAAAAAAGTGGCATAAACTCTTCAGCATCAAACATGAAACTTCCAGATGCTGCTAGTAGGGTGTTATGATGAAAATCCTCCCAGCAAGACTTTGTGGGAAGAAGAGATGAATCACAGTTCCTGGGTCAGGGAGTATATACATTTTTAAAGATTTTTGATAATGTACCTCCAAACCGTTTATTCTTGCCAATTAATTTTTTTTTTCTTTTGAACCATGCACCCTTTCATAAACCAACCAGCAATGTCTAAGATCAACTTGTACTAGAGCCTGTAATAGTTTATTTTTAATGCCAAATAAAGCAAATGAGTAAGTGGGTGGGTGTGAGCTATTTCGCCACTTGCATTTAGAAAGCAAAGTCTCTCTGAGAATTTCTCATTAAATGAATTTTATGAAGACTTCCTGCCAGTACACACATTCCACAGTCATTTATATCCGTAGGCAGGGAACTCACGTGTGAGCAAACTTCATGAGTGTCTATGCAAAGCCTAGTAATGTATAAACATCTAAAAACTCTGAGGTTAAGGTTGGGTAATCAAGAGGAGATTCGTCAGATTCACAGACAGAGCCAGGGTCTCTGTGCATACACACAGTCTAGGTGACAAGGTGGAAGGAGACCCCTCTCCAGAGTGCATTATTGATACGGAAACACCAGAGTGAAAGGGTCAGGATATACTGTAGTCATCATTGTCAGCCAGCCTGAAGTACTGCAGATGCCGCTGTTATTATATATAAATAGCCATATATCAACGGCTCCCAAGAGTGCTAGAGGAGACAGAACACAGGGCCACAACCCACAGGGTACACGCAATGTCTCCTCAGCTCATGAATGTACGTGAGGGGAGGCAACTCCTGGGTAACTCCCTGGAGCTTTTTTGCCCATCTGTGAAATGGGTCCAGTAGTAATGTTCTCCTCGTGGTCCGGCTGTGAGCATTCCACAGGATGATGTGTAAGGAGGCATCTTACAGTAGCATGGCCAGAGCTGCAGCTGGTGTGCACTGGACGGTTGGACACACGTGGATAGAAAGCGAACAGAATGCAGGGGTCAGCTGGATACAGTAGGGATACCCAGAGACAAGGATGAACACTCCATCAACTCTCCCTGCATCCCTACACCGGCAGCACCAGCAGCCTTGGAAACAGCAGACCAAGGTCACCTGCCCTCGAGGATGTAGTCTCTCGAGAGAGTCTGCCGCCATAGCAAGACCGCCCCCCAAAGACCACCATTGTCTCTGAGTTGACGTTGACAGTGCCTGAGGGATGAAGGCAGCCCATGCTTTTTGTTTGTCTAGTTTCTGGCAGAGAAGCCAGGGAAGGGGACTTGATGAGATCTGGCACCTCTGCCCTCCCTGGATGCAGGAAGGCAGGAGATTTTAATTTCGAAGCTGCAAATGAAGACTAAGAAGCAAAAGGGGAAAGACAGACATTCCAGGGTACTTTCTTTTCTGAGGTGAGTGGCACTTGGGTCCCTTCCCGCCACAGCCCTGAAGAGTAGTCAAAAGGCAACCTCTTTTTTTTTTTTTTTTTTTTTTTTTTTTTTTGGATAAGAATAAAGCAAGCTACTGAAAAGCCTAACCAGAGTCATCATTTAAACACAGGTCAACACGTGCTAACACATCCTGAAAGCCCTCCGCTATCCTGCAGCCGGCCCACACTGAGGGGTGTAGATCAGTGTTACCTAACCTCCACAGGCTTAGTTTCTTCCTCTGTAAAACGGGGTTAGCAAGAGAGTCTCCCTCGCAGGGCTGCTGAGAGCATAGAACGAGATCATAGAAGCGGAGATACGTGATACCAAACCCAGGGCCACTTGGCTATTGGTGTCTTCACACTACCTATATGCTTTGCTGGGGGTTTGTTTTGTTTTGTTTTTTGGTTTTTTTTTTTTAATCACAAAATATCTATGGTATGAATATTCATTGTTTTAACTTGTGTGTAAATGAACAGTGGGAGAGTGTTGGATGTGTAGCCCCAAACGTGAGTGAGGGTGAGCTCCAGCTGGCGGAGTCACTGATTTGTAGCTTAAGTTGGTAGGTCTCTGGATTTGGCGTCTTTTAATATTATAGGCCACAGAATGCAATAAAGAAAAATTCCAAATATTTGCAATAGGAGCGAAGGAAGGGAGAAAAGGAGAGCAGAGAGGGCACAGAAATGTGCCCTCGCTGTGACCACTCAAACCAGCGAGAATGCTAGGAGTGTGCTGGAAGCTACAGGCAGCCACTCAGAGGTGCTGACGGGAGAAGATAGAAAAGGAAGACTGGGATGCAAATAATTTGCCCTTCATCATTTCAGCTGTGTAAAATAATGCACAGAGAAGAGAATTTTTTTAAAAAAAAATCAGCCAAAACACCAGCAATGAACAGAATGCTGGGGCTGTGGTTGAGCATCGTTTTCTTAATGTGGTTTTATTCTTCCCAAATTACCTATGAGGGGCCTGAATTGCTTGTACAATGAGAAAACATGCACAGCTGATAATATTAACAAGAAGAAGAACGAGGAATAAAAGTCTGTTCTTACTTGCTTGATGGAAACCAGCAGAAGCAGGGCGAGGAAGGGCCTCCAGGGGCCCCAGAACAGACGCATCCCGTGGGTGTAGAGAGGCTGGGTCCCCTGGGCCATGGGGGTGCCCACCGGCTGTGCCCGCACCTGGGGCAGGGGCTCCTCTCTGCTTTGACGGGACACTGCCAGGCTTGGTTGGGTCCTCATCCTCTTGGCGCACTTTCACAGGCGCAGGCACATCCCTCCGGCACTCCGAGCTGTATGGCAGGCGGTGGCCTCCTGCATTCCTCCTTGTCCAGAGAGGAAGTGTTTGCACAAGTCCTCTGCAGGCCGCCGACTGTCTGAGCTGCTCCACGGCGATCTACCGAATCTCGAAGTTTCTCATCCCCCGCCTGCCCCTCCTAAAATCTTGGGAGATTTTTCCCAGACCTACCCCAAGACGGCTATGCTGCCTGGGACTTCCTCAGCAGGCCCAGAAGAAAAGGCAAGGCATGGTTTCCATCCTGAGGACTCTATCCCTGCACACAGCCGGAGTGAGCTTCCGACAGCTGGAGAGGATGAGCTGAGGTGCCAGGTGGCTATCTTTAAAGCCAGTGTTTCTTTCTACAACATCAAACTTTTCCAAGCTGTGCTGAGGCTACCTACAAAGGCAGGGGCCACCTCTGAGCTCTGATTATGCCAAGGTAACACAAGCAGTAGCTCGCCTGTTTTAGAGACAACACCTCCAGACCCAAGGTCTGCAGCAAAAAGCTATTCAATGATGAGCGTTGCGTGTGCTATCAATAGCAAAACAATGGGTAGGAAGCGCCAGGGTTGGCGCCTCTCCGCTGTCCACCTCTCCACTGTCCACGTGTTCTGAGCACAATGCTGCCCAGACCTTACTAACCAACACCTCACCTTCTCACTTCGGTTTTCGAAGGTTACAAAACCCTCCGCCCTCTGTCCTATTTCACTTGAACTTACAAGCATTCTCCCAGGGTATCATTATTTCTTCGTCTGAGGGCTGAGCAACACTGGGCTTCAGAGACGTCGGATTGTTTGCTCAAGGACTCACGGCAGGTGAAAGACAGAGCCAGGCCTTCTAGCCAAGTCGCCTGACCACAGCTACCTGGTCAGGAGCCTGCTCGCGCACACACACACACACACCCACACACACACCACACACCATCTCTTCCTGGCTGGCTTCCAAGACATTCTGTCCAACTGGAGGCTCAAGCAGAAGATGACCTGGTGCACAAAATGTCAGAATGGCAAGAGGCAAGAAAGACAGCTCTCTCTCTCTCTCTCTCTCTCTCTCTCTCTCTCTCTCTCTTCCTTCCTCCCTTTTCCCTCCCTTCTTCCCTCCTCTACCCCCCTTTTTTCCACATTTAAGTCAAACCATAGCTCATCATCATTACCTGATCAAGCCCACTGAATTCTGAACGTTCAGGGGGAAATGGGTGAATGGCCCTAGATGAAAGTCCCCCAAAATCTTAAAACCCTCACGTGGCAAGAGTTCAAACCTTGAGAGTGAACAGATCAGTCTAGGGAGGGCTCCCAGCTGGGCTTTTATGCTCCTGTGATTTCCACAGTCAATGTGGTCATCTCTTTAGGACCACAGAAAATGGGGTGAAGTGGCAGGGAGGGAGGAAAGTGTGTGTGTGTGTGTGTGTGTGTGTGTGTGTGTGTGTGTGTGTGTAAAGCTGTTCTGTACACACCAAAGGGAGCTTCTAGGTTACATGGTGGGGGAAAGAATCACCAGCTTTGTATAAATATTCCATCTCGCTTCTTTTTGAATGTTTCTCAAAAAAAATTTTTTTCCTGATCCCCCCCCACCTTGGTTTGCCTGCACACATACAATTTCCCTACCTGCTACCTGTTGGATGGACGCCATCTAGTGACGAAATGTGGTAAACCTGTCTGTGAGAGCAGTACATGGTTTCTAAGGCGACCGAGAGCCCAGGGCACAGGTCCTCGGGCTTTGCCAACAGGGAAGAACAGATGGAGGGAGCCAAACAGAAATGTCACCGCGGTTACATCTGGACTCCTCCAGGCCTGCTCAGCACAGAATGAGGAGCCGGTAACCTTCCCAGGCCGCACCGGCTTTCCTTCTCCATCCCTTCCTGGCTCCTAGCTTATTGAATTTCTTATGTAAATTTTCACTTTTCCTGGAGTTTCTAATTGCCTTTCCTTTCCCCATCCTAACGACATTTGGTTTGGTTTTTTGGTTTCTTCCTGGAACTGGTCCTGTAGTCACCTGTCCGTAAGGATGTAGATGATGGTCCAAGGACTTTGAGCCCCCTAGATGACACCAATGTCTGCAGCCAGTTGAGCTCATGTCTCTCCCCATGCTGCACAATGCACAGACTTTGAAGCAAACTGCCTGTGTCTTGCATCTCGGAGTCCCTGGGTTAAGCACCTGTCCTTGGAATCTTTCTTTTCTAGGGCTGGGCAAGAAACAGGTCCAGAAATTCCCCCGCGTTTCCGTGTTTCTTGCACGTTCACTCTTCTTTCTATGCAGACCCTAACTCTAATGCTTATGTATGCAGATGAAGGTTTGTGAGTGTGAGTATGGACTACAGAACTAGATGGGATGCCGTAAGAGGGGAACAAGAGGAGTCAGAGCGGAGGAAGAATACAAAAGATCATCAGTGTCATGGACGTAGAAAGGTTGCTGGGGTGGGAGGGCAGAAGGGGGGTGGATGGGAAAGAAGGTAGAAAGAGAAACAACAAAAGAAAATTTTGTTCGAAAAATGTCATGATGAAACTCAGTTATTTGTAAGCTTTTTTTTTTTAATAGAGTATCTTATGTTTCTGAAATCTAACATCGAGGGCCCTCCTTAATTTCCAAAGAGTTGAGTGGGGCATCAAGACACCCACCCATAAAGTCTTGGCTTTCAGTCAAAACCAATGTCCTCTACAATTGTCAAAGGAAGCAAGCTGAGAACCCAGGGTACGCTATAATAAACGCAGAGGAATCTTATCCTACCTTGCAAAGAGCCAAGCGTTTGCAGTACATACTACAACACAATGAAGTTTAAGGATGTCGCCCTATGTGCAATCAAGCTAGACATAAAAGGACAAATGCTGCACGGCCCCGTTTCTAGGATTCTTTTTCTAGAATTGCAATAAGGACAATAAGGACAGTGAAGGCTGCTGGGGGCTGGGAAGAGAAGGAATGGAGAGTTGTTTGACAATGGCAGAGCTTCGGTTTTGCATGCTGAAGGGAGTTCTGGAGAGGGAGACGACCATGTTTACTACCCCTGAACTGCATGCTTGATGGTTAAGGTAGTAAATTTTATGGTATGCATGTTTTACCACCGATTCTGAAAATGGACCAATGTCCCCTGCACTTACTAGGGAGGATAGAGGGGCCCCCCCTGAACCTTTTCACGGGAGAATATCTCAGGTTCTTACACAAATGCTCTATGCTGGAATATCTCAGGCTCCCCCAGAGGACCATAAAGAAGCTGTGTCAGGATGCCAGATGGCAGGGCTGGGGGATGGCGACCATGAGACAGTACAGAGGAGGGGCTTCTCGCTCTTGCTACTACTGGGAGCTTTATTCTGCCATGGACAGGGCAAGGTGGCAGCGGGTACTGACCCTCCTCTCCATCTGCCTGGCCCTCGCCTTCTCCCTCACAGCCATGGGCAGCAGCCACTGGTGTGAGGGGATCCGGCGGACGACAAAACCACTGTGCCAGGACCTCCTGGGGGGAGTGAACTGCATTCACTTCAGCCAGGCCAGCAGCAGCACTGGCAGAAGACATGACGATAGCCAGGCTGTCCAGTACATCTGGGAGACGGGAGATGATAAGTTCCTCCAGCTCAGGTTCCATGCGGGCCTTTGGCAGTCCTGTGAGGAAAGCCTCAACAGCACAGGTGAGTGTCCCCAGGCCAATGAGAGCAGGAGGGCCCTGAGAAGAGGCTCCAGAGCCACGCTAACTGAGTCTAAATCTCGGGCCTGCCACAGACTGTCCTCTACCTCTGAGCCTCAGTTTTCTCATCTATAAAATGAGAACAGTGGGGTTGCTCATCTCCTAAAGATAGTATGCCGATGAAGTGAGTAGATTGATGTGAGGTGTCCGCAAGAGGGCCTGACACAGTTTTTATTAAGCACAAGTGTTCACCCAGTCTCTCCGTTTCTCCAGAACCAGAGGTGGCGGCCTCCTCTAAGCTGCACCCCAAGATTTCTTTCTCACTTTAAAAGTTGTTGTTATTTTTGTTGTTATTTGAGATGGGGTCTAACTTTGTAGCCTTGGCTGGCCTGGAATGTAGATTAAAGATGTGTGCCATCATACCTAGCTTTAATTTGTGTGTGCATGCGTGTGTGTGTGTGTGTGTGTGTGTGCATGCATGTGTGTGCGTGTGCGCATGCGCCCTCAGAGGCCAGAAGAAAGCATCAGATCCCCAGCATCCAGAGTTACAAGCTGTTGTGAGACACCTGACTTGTTCTGGAAACCAAACCCAACTCCTCTGCAGGAGCAGCAAGTGCTCTTCAACCCTGAACCACTGCCCCAGCCCCTCCAACGCTGAGCCATCGCTCCGGCCTCTCTTTCACTTTTAATGACTGTTGAAACAGAGGACCCTCTTAAAAACAAACAAACAAACAAATCCCCAGCTCTTATCACCAGTAGATCACCTATCAGATCTATGACAATCATGACACAGAACAAGACGGTCCTTTATCTCAGGCTGCCCTCGAAACCGCCCTGCACAGTAGATATGGTCTCCACAAGCCGTGTGTGTGTTAATCAGCCGATTCTGGACTTCATTGATTAAGAGTGGAGGTTTATGAAGTAAGTGGTGAGGTATGAAGAAAGCGAAAACAGAGGGGAGGGTTAGTACATAAAGCAAGTTTGCAGAAAGTGCTTTTACCTCACAAAGACTACAAGAGGGAGGAAGGTCCACCCCTGAGGCTAGACAGACTGGCCAAGGCCTACGCTGGGGGAGAGAGGCGCCCCTCTGCTTTCAAAGCAAAGGCCCCAAATGAGAAGGGGCACCCTAGCAGTCGCCACTTACATCCTCAGGCTTACATTTCTTGCACAGACCTTCACTTTACCAGTTTGTGGCATTTTAAAGGTTGTTTTTACAGCCTAAGTAGACTGCAACAGGGCACGATACTCTGAGCTACAGCATAACAGCCTCCGACCGCATCCAAGCCACTACCTGGTGGCAAATAGATGCCCCCCTTCACCTCCAGGCTAAGTGGCCTTCGCTCTAAGTGTGATTCAGGCGTGCCCAAA